TCAGGGCGCTCTGGGCACCGCAGGCAGCCAGGGCCTCTGTGGGGAGGAGGCGGGGGCACTCACGTAGAGGATGGGGATGATGGAGGGGTCGTCCCTGCGGATGATGGTGGGGATGTACTCGGCTTTGGGCACCTTGGAGGAGATGAGCTGGCAAAGACAGAGGGCAGCTCAGGGCCCAGCCCGCACCGCGCCCGGAGCCACCTGCGGACCTGGTCTTGGGGCTCTCAGAAGGGGAGCCCCTCCACCAGGGCACCTCCCGCAAGCGCTGCGCCGGCCTTACCATGACCTTGGGGGGCACAAACCCCTCCGTGTTGCAGGCCGCAGCCTCCAGCCCCTTCTCTGTCTCCCAGTCCAGGTCCTCAAAGGCCTCCTCCAGCGTGCAGTGCGAACTCTGCAGGTCACTGCCTGAGGGGCCGGGGTGGGGGGTGGGGCTCAGCATGCCACGGCCCCCAGGATGCCCTGCCCAGCACTGCTGGGCAGGTGAACGGGCTTGGGAGCAAAGACACAGACGCCCAGCGGCCCTGGGGGGACTCAGGGGCCTGGGCGGGAGCTGGGGGGGGGAGGCGCTGGGACACCTACTGTCTCGGGAGTCGTGGGAAGTGTCGGCTTTCATTGGGGTGGGGTCGCTCCAGGACCGGCTGAAGCTCCGCTCCCGACGCTCAGCGAACGCTGCAGGGCGGGCGCAAAATCCCTGTTAGCAAGCAGGGGCGGGGCCTTGCGGGGGCGTGGCCGGGGAGCCCACAGGCCGAGCGGGAAGACTGGGCTGGCTGCGGGGCGGTCGGGTGCCGCGGTGGGGCCGGGTTGCAGGCCGACCAGGTAGGGGCGGAACTTGAGAGGCGCCCGCAGACCCACCGTCCAGGGCTGCCAGCAGCGCGCGAAGCCCCCTGCGGCCAAGCGCAGCGCCGCCCAGCACCCCCTGCCCGGCACTTACTCTGGGCCTTCACCCGCCGGCTGCCGACCATGCGCAGGTGTTTGCGGAAGTTCCTGGGGGAGGAAGCATGGCGGCTGATGAGGGCCATGACTGGTGGGCCCAGGACATGGCCGGTGCTCAGCTCACACCCTCCCAGCACCCCTGCACGCTCTCCCCCACCGCCCGGGGCAAATGCAAGCCCTGCCCCTCCACCACTCCTGAGACCCCTCCAGGGCGTCCCCCGAGGCTGTCCACGAGCAGCCCAGCTGCTCCCACGCTTGGTGACCCCTCCGCAGCTGCCACCTGCCCAGCGCTGGGGCCCTTGTCCCCTCTGCACACCCCCAGGTTGGCGTGGAGCCTGCGGGAGCTCCTTCCCTACTGTGCCCCCGGCCACGGAGGAGGCAGGTCCTTTCTTCCCCCAAACTGTGTGCCCGCGGAGGCCCAAGGCCCAGGACAACAAATCCCCCTCCCCCGCACATCTCAGGCTGCTGGGGCGGGGGTGCGTAGGCTCTGTGCTTCAGGCCGAAACCAGTGGGCCAGCCGGCACAGTTCCACTGTCAGTGCACCCTCCAAGGTGGGGCCCGCCACCTGGCTCTCCTGCTTGCCAAGTCACCAGAGCAGGGCCAGGCCAGTGGTTGCCTCACCCTTCCCCCCTCAGGGCTGTGGCAGGGCAGGCCCAGGCCAGGCCAGCACAGACCAGAGAGGGACCCTGGTGGCAAGTGGCTGGCAGGCCCTACCTCTGGATTACAGACGCGGAATCATGCTCTCGTTTCCGGCGCTTCCTCTCCGCGTAGCCCCTGAACACCCTGGGAAACCGCCGCAAGTCAGCACTGCCCTTGGCCGGAGGCAGGAGGGACACAGACGTGGGGACAGAGGCACAAGCAGAGGGCCCAGTGGGTGTCCGGCCTGCCTGGCTCTGTCCGAGGCCCGGCTCCCGCGCGCCCATTTTGTGGCCTGGTGCCTGCCGGGAGCCGGGCCCACAGGCACAGCACTGACCAGACCTATTTGGGGATGGGAGGACCCCCCCAGGCATGGCCGCTGTGCCCTTAGGGGCAGTCTCGTGGATACTTACGAGATGCTGAAGACGGAGGCGGGAAGGGAAGGGGAGAGCGTGAGAGAGAAGAAACAATGAGCCTCAGCCCCGTGCCTCCCCTGAGCCCCCAGCCCACAGGGCCCCCGCTGCTCAGTGACTCGGAGGGTCCCTCACGGCACCCCAGCCACCAACTGAGTGTGCCATGTGCCAGTCCCAAAAGGGCAGTGGAAGCTGAGGCCACTGGGCCCATGTGCCCGGTGCTTTGCCCTGGCCAGGCTTGGCTGGGGGTGGGGGGAAGAGGGAGGAGCATTCTGGGACAGGAGCCTGAGCCTGGGGGTAGGAGAGAGCTGCGGAGCTTCTAGGGCATGGGGGCCCCTGCAGCAAAGGTCCGTCCCTGGAAGGAGCCCTGTGACAGAAAACCCCGATGTAGGTCAAAGGTAAAGACCCCTAAATTGTGACCACCTGTGGCACACGGGAACCAGGAGGAGGCTGCCCTTCGGCGGGTGTGAGAGGCAGACACAGGGCCAGGAGGTGGGGCAGGGGCAGGAGAACCTCCCCCGCTCCACCCCACTGATGGCTCCACCCACTGCAGCCAGGGTCAGGTCCCCAGAGCAGGGACACCGGCAGAGGGGAGGAGCCTCAGCCTGCCCTGCCCGGCAGACCTGGCACCGTGTGGGTGCCCGGGGCTGCTCAGAGGCCAGGAAAGGCTCGTCAGCATTTCCTGCGTGCCAGGAAGAGGTGGCCTGGCCCTTATCCTGAGTGGGTGCACGACTCACGCTTGCATAGTTGTGGTTGCTGTCTGGAAGCTGAAGAGGTTCTCCTTGGGGAACCAGGTGCGGATGGGGCCGTCATCTACAAGGGACAGGAGGAAAGCCGCTGGGGTGGGCGGGGGCTCAGGTCACACCCTCAGGCCTTGGGGCTGCTGTCTGAGCCCTCCAGCTGGCTGGCATGAAGGGCGCGCCACAGAAAGCAAGTCTCTCCAGGGGCGCCTGGAGCCCCAAGGCTCGGATGTCAGCCTGGCCAGACCCTCCCCCTCCTGGCCCCCTCCAGGATAAACTGGAGGTCTGCACTGAGGGTGGAGCCCACCTTGCTGAGGGCTGTTGCTTTTTCTGGGCCCCCACATCCTTTCCTTGAGGCCCAGAGCAGCCGGCAGGCAGAGCGGGCATGGGGAGGGGACCAGGGCACTTCCCAAGGCAGCCTCGCCTTCTGATGGGCCAGGACTGCTGGCATCCCCAAGACCCTCCTAGCCCCTCTTGGGGAGCACCCTGATTGACCTGGTATTGGCAAGGCCAAAGCCAACCATGGGGCCTGACAGAGGTGTGTGTGGAGGAGCTGCCGGAGGCCATGGTTCAGGGAGGGAGGGGGAGGCAGAACCCCATGGGCCCATCCTGCTGCTGCACACTGGGATCTGGGCACCCCTTCAGCTGTTCCAAGCCTCGGTGGCTGCTGCTGTCACAGCCGATCACCGGGATGCTAGCTGGTCCCGCCCACGCCTGCCCGAAACAGGCCTCTCACCAGACGCTCCATCGACGCTATACATCCTCTCCAGCTTCTTGTGGTGGCCAGACGCCTCGGGCACAGGCGGCTGGTCCAGGCCAAAGGCCTGAGGAGAGGGACTGGGGGCCAGCTGGGCGCAGCCGGGACATTCCTTGGAGCCCTGGCGACTGCCCGCCCAGCTCTGGCAGGGCCTGCTCACGTCCTCGTGGCTGCTGCCGGGGCTGGCACGCAGGGGCTGGCTGTGGTGGTGAGAGTGCCGCTCCCGCTGCCTGTGCCCCTTCACCACAGACAGCTCGATGGCCTCGGCCTCCGGGCTGGGCAGCAGGGCGGGCTCCCCGGAGATGGTGTACACACGGGGCTGGGGGCCCTCGCCAGCCTGCTTCCCGCTGACCCCCTCTTCTGAGACGCTGCTCTCGTAGCGGCCGTTGGAGACAAGGGAGAGGCGGCGCTTGTTCTGGGGGGCTGGCTGCATTTCAGGAGACCCGTCGTGGCCAGAGTAGGCATCGGCCAGCAGGTGGTCTGGGGGAGAGGCACAGGTGAGCCTGCAGCCTGCTGGCCCGGCCTCCCAGTCTAAGCACACTGCGGGCAGGGAACATCCCACAGGCACCTGGCCTGCCTGGGGGCTCAGGCTGCCCAAGCCCAAGGCCTTGACGCCTTCTGAGAAGTGTTGGCCCGCCCCTCATCCCTCCTGTCTGTGCTGGGAGCAGGGCGTCCGCCACACGACCTCTGCGTGTCTGATGGGGGTGGGAACAAGCAGGCCACCCCCCAGGCTGCAACAGCACCGCGAGCCTGGTGCCGACTCCTCCCCTCCCCCCAGCCAGCTGGCCCTCGGAGACAGTGGTGCCAGCCCTGGGGGTGCCAGGAGGCCTGTTGCCATGCCAACGGCCCAGGCTGGGTGGGTGCCATGGTGATGAGTGATCCAGCTCCTCGGGGGCTCTGGGCCAGGGAGGGCAGGGGATGAGGAAGCAGCCCAGCAGGGCATCGGGGCCCACGCACAGCAGCACAGCCTGGCCTGCGCCTGGCCTGGGGCAGGGGGCAGCGTCCGCGGGTTGGGGGGGCCTCGGACTCCACCCTGGCACTGCCTCCCGCGCCCCTACCTGAGCCATTCCGGTTCTCAGGGTGACTTTGGGACAGGTACTCTCCGAACGCTCGGGCTGCTCTGTGGGGTGGACAGGGCCGGCCACAGTCAGGGCAGCAGCCCCGCCTCCGGCACCTGCCAGACCCCAACCCAGGGCCGCAAGGAGCTGCACGAACCCTGGCGGCGCCGAAGCCCTCAGTCCCCTCCCGCTCAGCCACCCCCCCCCCGCCCCGTCTGCTGTGGGATGGGGTCGCCAGCACGGGGAGGCCCCGGCCGCCGCACTCACCGCACTTTGGCCGCCACCGAGGACATGGCCTCGCTCCTCAACGCCCTCCTCCTGGAGGCGGCGGCGCCCATGGCCGAGGCGGCGGCGCATCCCCGGCTCAGAGCGCGCCCCGCGCCCGCCGCCTCCGCCGGGGCAGCCTCGCCGCGCCGGGGGTCGTGCCTCTGCTCGCGCTCGCGGCCAGGGTCGGGCCCGGGCCCTGCATGGCAGCGCCGGGCACTCGGTGTCCCGCAGCAGCAGCACCGGCAGCCGCGGAGACAGCGGCCCGGTCGGGGGCGGTGGCTCCGCCTCCGTGACGTCACGGGAGGGCGTGGTCCTGGGCGGGGCCGCAGAGCTGAGAAACTGAGGCCTGAGGTCAGGTGACTGCAAGGCCCCGGGGCCCAGGGCCTCCCAGGGTGGGGTCCCGCTCTTATAGCACAGGGTCCCCTGCTCCCAGAGGAGTACTTAGGTCAGCACCCGACCAGATCCAGGGTGAGCGAGGCCTGGGCATCTGAGGGGCTCATCCGGGCGTGGGGGGGGTCCCCAGCTTCATCCAGACCCTGGGCACCACCCTGCCAGCCTTGGAAGAGGGGAGACGACCGGGCCGCGGGCAGTGACCTTGCACAGGGATGACGTGTCGTAGTCTCATCTACCTTTATTGATGCCAGTTCAGCCCGCGGGGGCCTGGCACAGCCCCAGGGTGCTGTGGATGGGCAGGGGGTGCCAGAGTGAGAAGAAGCCGAGGAGCCTCGGCCCCGCCCCGGGGGGCCCCAGGAGAGCTGGACTCCCTGGCCGGCCTTCAGGGAGGGGAGGCCTCAGCAGCTGCCAGGGCCTCGGTCTCCCTGGGGAGACGCAGGATTCAGGTGCCAGGGCAGGCCATCAGCCAGGGGCCTGATGAGTCCTGGGCAGGTTGTGGGGAACCCAGACCTGGGTGTCGATGCCTAGGTGAGAGCTCATCTTCCTGCAAACAGAGCAGGTGGTCGGGGTGCAGCGCAGCTGGGCGGCTGCACCCCGAGGGCCTGCGGGGAGCAATGCCTTGGGTGGGGCGGGGCCCAGAAGCTCACCGAGTCAGAGCCCCGCTCGCGGGTGCTCTGGAAGTCCGCATATGCATCCTGGGGTACGTCGGGCAGCTCCTCCTCGTACTCAGTCTGGTAGTCTGATTCGTCTGCAGCAGAGAGGGGGACAGCGGCTGTGAAACCCAGAGGCAGGGAGGAGCCACAGACCTCAGCCCTTGATCTCCCTGCACTGCCACCAAAGCCACCTGTCCTGGGACTACTGGACAGAGCACTTGCCGGTGCACCAGCAAGGCAGGCCCAGCAGCTGGGACCCGCTTGTCCACTGTGGGCCTTACCAAGCCGGACACCTGCTGGGTCTTCCACAGACACGGGGTGCACAAGACCCCCCACCCACCCCACACAGCATCCCAGTCGCCTGGCCCATGCAGGCAGGGCAGGGCCTGGGGCAGCCACAGGGCCCCACTCTGCTTCATGGGGAGGCTGTGGGCCGCCAGCTGGTGCAGGACCCTTGTTGGGGACAGAGCTGGCCATTCCTCCCTGTCAGCTCCTGCTGGCTCAGGTTGGGGGGTGGTTTTCCCCCCAGCTCTAAGGTGTGGTGAACGCAGGCCAGAGGCAAAATGCGGTGAGCACTGGTCAAGCTTCCTAGCCGGTGAAGCCCAAGTACAGGTGCCTGAGAGCAGATGGGGCCCCGCTCGTCCCCACGTGGCGTCAGCTGACGCCATCACCCTCAGCAGGGCAGGCCCTCGCCCTGGCGTCCAACTCACCGTCCACAGCGGCCGCCTTGGCAGGCTCGATGCGGGACACGATCGCGGCGAGGTCAGTGAAAGAGGCGTTGGGGCAGGCGAGGGTCTGCGTTGAGGCCAGCAGGTGGTGATTCCACGTGCCCCCTCTGAGAGCGCCTCTGGGGGCAGGCGGGGGACACGGGCACTCACCGAGCAGGCCTGTCTCCTGCTGGCTCCCTGCCGGTCCTGCAGCATCCGGTCCAGCACGCCACCGCGAGCCCAGATGTCAAACACCATCCGGCCGTGCTGGTACCCCACTTCCTGCAAACACCCAGGGCAGTTGGGAGGTGCGGGGAGCCCCCACGGAGATGCCCGTCCCGGCAGCCAGGGGCACTCACGCAGATCTCGTTGAACTTGCCGAAGTCCAGGGTGCCGTAGCCGTCGATGGGGGGCCGCAAGTACTCGCAGTAGTCACTGCTCTTCACTGTCTCCAGCTGCCGGACGCAGCACACGTAGGCCAGGCGGGTCTGGATCTCTGCCATGTTCAGCACCTGCCGGCACAGCGCCGAGTCTCCCGCCTCTGCCCCTGTTGTCCCAGGTGCTAGCCCGGGGTGCACAATGGCTCTGAAGGCCTCCCCCCATCCTGGTGTGCCCTGGTGAGCTGTGAGCCCCTCTGCCTGTTCGCACTGTCCTCCCTTTCCCCAGACTGGGCCTCAGAGCCTGCACAGGGATGACCCCAGACCTGCTGGACTCAGGACAGAGGGCAAGGGGGCTGCAGCAAGAGGCCACAGGGGAGTGACCCCATCCGCAGGCGACGTGCCCACCTTGACCTTCGTGGCCAAAGGGTTCCAGCGTTTCCACAGCAGCCACCACCCCGACAGGGCGTCGCCATAGTTGGTGAGGTCCATCTCGTCCCGGCTGCCCACGTCGATGGCAATCACCACTTTTGCCCCCATGGATCTCGCCACATCCGCTGGGTATGAGAGGTGGCTGTGGTCATCACCCAGGATGGACACACAGAGCCGGGGGGTGGGGCCAGGGCACTGCCTGCCTCCCTGGTATTCAAGGCCTGGAACAGGGGCCCTGGATCTCCTCTCCACCCTCATGTGCCCAGCTCTGCGGGCAGACGTGTACATGGAACTGTATGCTGGCCTCCGATCACATGTGCAACAGGTGACAGGTGTGGCGTTGCCGGCAGCAAACCTGTCGCCTGCAGGCATTAAGGTCTGGCTGTGAGCACAGATGGGGCCTAATTGCTGCCGGGTTCTCTACTTGGCCTTTGTTCTGGACACTGCGGGGCTGACAGGCAGAGCCATATGCTGGGAGCACAGAGCACCTGTGGCCTGGCGTGTGCGTGCGTGTGTTCTCTGGGCTGTACGAGGCTCTGCTCTGACGCCAGCATGATATTTTCCCTTGGCACACACCAAGAAAAGCGTGTATCACTCCAGCCTTCCCAGGGTGGAGGCGGCTGTGGCAGGCAGCCACGGGGCGGAGCGGCTGAGGCATCTGGGCCGTGCTGGGGTGGACTCGTCGCCACCGCGTACCTGGAAGGTTGTTGATGTAGCCCCCGTCCATTAACAGGTGTCCGTCTTTGGGGTCGCAGAGTGGGGGCATGTAGCCCGACAGGGACATGCTAGCACGCACATAACGCCATAGAGAGCCTGGAGGGGAGAGTGGGCGAGTGGGAGGAGGGGCAGGCAGGGCACCATTGCTGTCCCCTGCATCAGATCTGGTCAGTCCCTGAGTGGACAGGTCCCACCTCCTCTAAGAGCACCAGGCTGGCACCCCTGCTGTGCCCTCCTCCTCCTCCTCCTGCCCCGAATGCCCCTCCCAGCCGTGGGGTCTCAGCTCCAGGCCCTGTCCCTCCCCCTGTCCTCCGAGTATAGATCTGCCTGTGCCCACTGCCTCCCAGCAGCCACCAGGCCCAGGGTGTGGAGGGTGGGGCTTACCATCCGTGTGCACCCGCATGGCAGAAGCCGTGATGTCAGTGGTGACGGCGAAGTAGGGGAGCCACAGGTCCTGTGGGGAGGACAGGCTCAGCCTCTTCTCCCACTGTGGGGGTCCGAGGGCAGCCCTGTTGTGGGGGGTCCCTGCTGTGGAACGCACCTCAATCTGCCGATCCTTGAAGATGCTGCAGATGCTGCTGTTGAAGCCGGCACCCGAGAACATGGACGTGATGGGGTAGGTCAGGTCCAGCACCGTCTTCACTATCGACGTCCTGTCCTACAGGCACAAGAGGCCGCTGCTGACTCACAGCTCAACCGCAGGACCCGCAGCTGGGCCCGAGCACAAGGTGGCAGAGGGTGGTGGAGCCCCCGGGGCCTGGAGGCTGGGACATGGCCCACCCCTTGGGGCCCTTGAGGGACCCTGTGGGCCTCTCCAACTCAGCCCTTATAGCTAGCTGGGGCTTCCTTGTTTGCCTGCTCACTGACGGGAGCCCAGGTGGGATGCTGAGTGGTGAGGAGAGGTCAGAGCCCCAAGGCTGGCCCTGGTGACCAGTGAGGCCCAGTGTGATGACACGCCATCAGGGCCCTGGGGGCTGCGGGGATCTTGCCCAAGCCCGGCTCTCCCTCAGTGGCTCCTTCTGGGTGGGACCAAGGCCTGTCTTCCTCATGAGGATGGAGGCCAAGCAGACCCTGTGGTGGGCGGGCCTCATGCATCAGTGGCCTCACTCCCAGCATGCCTGGCCTCAAGGCCGGCCTCTGACTCTCGGAGCAGGGAAGGGGAGGAAGGGCCTTCTGCTGTTGCACGCCAAGCCTGCAGCGGACGGGGTGGGGAGGAGCCAGGACAGGCCCATGTGCTCAGACCAAAGAGTCCCTCAGTTGATGGGTGCTGCTGGACAGTGGGGCCCAGGACAGCTTGGACCACTACACTTCCCTGGTATGGGGACACCCCCGATGCCGGGAGGCCCTGAGTTCAAGCACCCCCACAGCTGCCCCAGCACCAGCCTGGACGGAAGGGGAAGAGAGGGGGCTGCCCCAGCCTGGGGCTGAGTTCTCCTGAAGCTGCCCTCTGCCCCAGTGGACACAGCCTGGGACACAGCTCTGGGCAGTGGTGCCCGCTCTTGGGCAGCCACCTTGAGGGGTAACCAGGTGACCATTTCTGGAGCAGCAGCAGTGCCCTCAGGAAGTCTGCTCTTTCTGAAGGACACAGATACTTGCAACACTCCTACCACCACCAGGGCCCGCACCGTCCCACCCACTGCATTTCACACTGTGCCCCAGGAGCGTGGGGCAGACTGACAGCAGAGCAGCCCCCCCCCACTCCCAGCAGCCTTTGCCCCAGCACCACCCACACCGCCATGCCTCAGCTTCCTGAGGCAAACCCCAGGAGAGGTTCTGGCCCTGGCCTCCCCTCACTCCTTGCTGCTCCTGACGGGTCTGGGGGCCTTGCCCTGGGGCCCTGCATGATGGCTGCGTCTGCCTCCAGGGCTGCGAGCTGCACACAACCCTCCAGTGTCATCATTCAGACCCCAGGCACAGAACCACGCCTCCCACTACAACCCAGCCCCTGCTCCCCTTCCTGAGGCCCCCAGAGCCAGAGGCCAAGGGTCCCGATGCCGTCCCAGCCCCCACAGCGTACCTCAGCCCACTGCTTGGCCCGGATCCGCATCTGGCTGTAGCTGCGCTCCTCGGAGTACAGGGCGCCCATGAAGGCCCCAATGGATGTCCCTCCAACCATGTCCACGGGGATGCCGCACTCTGCCAGGGCCCTGACAATGCCCACCTGGGCACAGCCTCTGCACCAGCCAGGAACACGTGAGGAGTGAATGTTATCACCGGGACCAGCCCCCGGCTGTGCCCCACAGAGACCCCAGGGCAACCCAGTGCCCAAGCCCTGCACAGATAATGAGGCCAGGAAGCACTCAGGGAGTTTGTACACAACTTAAATATTTTTCCTGGAGGGGCTGAGATGGCACAAGGGTGTCCCCAGAGGCCAGCATCTGGCCTTTTCTACCTGCAAAATCTGCTGACCCCAACAGTGTCCAGAAGGTTGGGAAACTGAACAGGGCCTTGCTGGACACAGGTAGGGTAGGGGACATTGGAGCTGAGGGCTCTGTGGAGGGATGGCTCTCGGCAGAGGCCTGAGGGCAACTTCCAGGAGGCAGGCGGAGCCTTGCCCTCAGAGACCAGGTCTGCCTGCACCTTTGCAACCCGCCGGAGTCACCGTCCAGGACCTCGAATTACTGCTGCTGTTTTCTCACACAATGACTACTACATCGTGATACAGGAAGCCAGAAAACAGACAATGGAAATGGACCAGAGCAAACCCAGATAACAAATATCAGGGCTCAGCTTTAAAATCTCCATGCTTAGGGGCAGGTAAAGCTGACACCCGCAGTGCTGGCATCCCATGTGGGTGCCGGTTCAAGTCCTGGCTGCTCTACTTTCGATCCAGCTCTCTGCTATGGCCTTGGAAAACAGTAGAAGATGCCCAAGTCCTTGGGCCCCTACACCCACGTGGGAGACCCAGAAGAAGCTCCTGACTCCTGGCTTTGGATTGGTGCAGCTCCAGCCGTTGTAGTCATCTGGGGGAGTGAACCAGCAGGTGGAAGACCTTTCTCTTTCTCTCTCTCTTTATCTCTTTCTCTTTGCCTCTTCTTTTTCTGTGTAACTCTGAGTTTCAAGTAAATAATAAAATAAATCTTAAAAGAAAAACAAAACAGCAGAAGTGACAGCCACACAGAACTGGAAACTCGCTGCTCATACGGTCAGACAGCTATCTGAAGACTTGATGGGGGCCCAGGCCTGAGACAGGATGGGCGAGAAGTGGGTGTCGCAGGACACCTGCAGACGGAGTGCACACGGCGCTCTTCCAGCTTGAGAATACCAGCACCGTCCCGCCGGCGGGAGCTGTGTAGGCCACAGGAGCAGGTACACGAAGCCCAGGAGAAGAAGGTGACACCACACCCACCACAACGTCCGCAGTCTAAAACATGGACAGTGCCCAGAGCCAGCAGGGCTCGTACCCTGGCTGGGCTGGCGCGTGAGGTCAGGCACAAGAGAGATAATGTACCGCCCCACCACGAGAGGAAAGAAAACATCCATTCACCGGAAGACCTGTATAAGAACGCTTGTAACGGTTTTGTTGGTGATAACCAGAACATGAAACAAACCAACATCCAGCAGGAAGAGCAGATGGGACAGCGGGGGTGTGACGGGACCCTGCTCAGTGATACCACACTGGCACAGGGGCGTCTCGGAGACACCCCGTGGAGTGGGCCAACCAGGTGGACAGCAAGTCCTGCCGCTAGAACCCCCACAGAATCACCACCCTGCCTGGATGCGTGGAGACAGCAGAGCAAAAAGGCCAATGTGGGAACAGGGGGGAAAGACGGAACTGGAGGGTCTATCCGGAAAGCCAGCATCTTACCACGAGACACTTCAAGGGAGAGAAGAGAAAAAAGGCAGAGGTAAATATTTTTGAAAATAAAAGGTTTCCCAGAGTAGGAGTTCACAAGTCCCAGGTCTGAAAGGGCTGACGGGGAGTCCAGTGTAGGGAACGAGGGGTGAACCCCATCAGGCACACAGGGACACTCTCAGAAAAACCTGCAGAGAACTTCTGAGGACTTGAGAATCCAGTGGAACTTCTCACAAGGTCCACAACAGCAAGACAATGGACTCACGCCTTCAAATCCCCAGGGAAAACTGATCCCATCTAGAATTCCATACCCAGCAAAGCTATCATCAATGACAGTAACATGAGGACTTCTGACATGCATGGTCTTAAAACTTTTACTTCCCATGCATCTCAAGGACATTTGCATGACTACGTATTCACAAAAGTGAGTGTTCTGTTAAGAAAGTGGAAGACACAGAATGCAGGAAATGAAACTGAACACGGGAGAGGTGAGGGAAAATTCTAGAAAGCCAGCAAAAGAGACTGGGGCAGCCAGAGGGCCTCAGGGACAAGAACTCCTGAGCAGGATAAACACAGGCGGCTTGGTGTGTCTGAGTGCTTCCAGCACCCAGAAAAGTGAGCAAATGGAAAACCCAACACTTATTAACCCCAGGGAATGGATGCAGACCCGATATGTATGTGGCATGGCTTAGAGTAACAGTGTGTGCAGTGAGTGGCTTGGCTGGCGGTACACCACACTAGAGTGGAGTGGGAGGGAGGGAGACACGCATGGGCACTGGAGGGGTGATGGATGGATGACAGACAGATGATGGATGTGTAGACTGCAGACAGATACAGATGGAGAGACAGACTCTGTGTTCAAGGGGGTTAGAAAGTCACCAAGTAAAACTTAAAACCCACATTAATGAGAATATGGCTTTGGTACCCAGAAGGGGCAGATGGCTGAAAATGTAGGGAGTGGCTGGATCTGGGGCAGGCATGGTGGGAGGAGGTTGCTACCACACAGCTTCCAAGTATCGCCCTGATTAAAACCACTCTTGGATTAAAAACACTAGACCTGGCCTGAAAACCAGGCCCAATGGCCCTGGGCCACTCACTGCCCTGGACGTAGGAGACCTGGGTCCTCCCCTGAGCCTGCATCTCTGAGGCTCTCAAGCCAAGGCGGGGCCCGCAGGCGGTCTGGCCCCTACATTCAGGTCTCCAGGCCAGTGGGCTTAGCTCTCATCCTGTCCACCAGCTCGTGCTGGGGTCCAGCGGGGCCAGGCCTCAGCACACACAGGGCTCCTCCCCGGGCAATGCTGCTGTCCCATGAGGAGGCCCCGGCCTGGCTCTCAGTCGTCACCTGCCCTCTGGCATATGGTTCACCTGCAGGCACCTGCCTCACCTCACTGTGCCCATGATGCTCCGGGCCCCACTTCTGCCCCCTGCAAACCTCTCTGTAGGTCTGGGAGAAGGTGGTGAGCACTCATGCCATCAGGGCAGGAATTCTTTGGGCTAAGGGTGCTTTAAGGAACTCACAGTCGGAGGAGCTGGAGAAAGCTTTGCTATTTCGTGAGCAGATCAGATCGCTGCTGTACAACGCGAGCATGAAAGCGGGAAGAAGCTCACCAGGAGCCTGGCGGGAAGACGGGCAAAGGGAAGGACGCAGCACTTTCAGAGGAGGGGGCGGTGGCTGACAGGCAAGCCAGAGGCGGAGGCAGCGGTGCTCCTCAGCGGGCATGAGAGGCGCCCTCCGTGCCAGTGCTTCCAACGCCTGGTCAGGGGTGCGGTCCGGCCCGGCACACATCAGCATCCTCGCAGTGCCCTGCCTCCGGGGTGCCCGTCACTGCCTCCCCACACTGGGGGCGGGGACTCACCTGGCTCCCCCTCCCCCAAGCACCAAGGCAATGGCGTTGCCCGTCAGCACCCGTGCCAGGCGGGAGAAATCCGAGTGCCGGTCTGGGGTCCGCTGGAAGACGCGTTCGTACATCTCCGCCTGGGAGAGGGGCCAGCGGAGGGCAGGGCTGGTGCAGGGCGCCCCCCCGACCCCTGCATCCTGTCTGCACTGCTGCGCTTCTATACCTGAACCGAGGTCCTGGGAGCACCTTGGCGCCCAGGTGGGGCCGCTCCCTTGGGGGAAGCTGTCGGCAGACAGTGAGTGCCACCCAGCACTGGAGACCACGCAGCTCCGCAGAGCTGTCCCCGGGGCCCCCGTTGGGGACAGTAAGCCTGTGCGCACTGGCTCAGGCGAAAGCAGCCACGAGGACGTTATCCACCATGCCGTGGGTCCGGGCAGGCTGCGGTGCTGGGGAGGGCTGCAGGCACCCTACCGAGCGGGCGCCTCTGGATCAAGGACGAGGCACCCCAAGGCCACCTCAGTGCCTGCCCCTCACCCTGCTGTCAGGCCTGTGTTTCAGGGCCTGCTGGCCCATGGTGGCCTCTCTCTGCTCGTGCCTCCGCCATGCTGGGCCTCGTCCTATCTGCAGGGCTCAGGCATGAGATTCCCAAAGGTCAAGCCCTAGGGAGGACAAGCTCCTAGCCAGCACATGCGTGCAAGAGGAGGCCCCCGAGAATTCAGAGGCTGGGGAATCAGGGAGAGAAAGAGCACCCTAGGTGTTCAGGAAATAAATGGCACGGCCTCGGGGCAGGCAGGCAGGAGCCCAGGAGCCTGTGCTGGGCTGCTCCGCCGGGCCTCACCAGCTTGGGCAAGCTCCTGCGGGAGAAGACGCGGCGTGGACAGCGGAGGTGCAGGTGACCTGAGCACCAGCTCCGCATGTTGAGCCACTCCACGGTGCGGGCGGGTGCCGGGCCCTCCTCCCGGTGCAGCAGGATCAGTTGCTTCTGCGCCCTCACGGCCGAGTTCTCCAGCATCCGCTCCAGCTGGTAGGAACAGACCTAGGGTCAGTGGCGCAGGCCCAGGCCTAGGCCCAGGCCCAGGCAGGACAGAGGGCCTGAGAGCAGACGACTGCGCTCCGCGTGCTGCTTGGGAGCTGGGGGTGGGAGAGGCCTCCTCTCTCTGCTGCTGGAGTGCGGCCCCAGCAACACACATCACACTCACCCTGGGAAGGAGCGTCACCCTGCACAACAGACACGCACACTCACCCTGGGAAGGAGCGTCACCCTGCACAACAGGAGCACACGCACTCACCCTGGGAAGGAGCGTCACCCTGCACAACAGGAGCACACACACTCACCCTGGGAAGGAGTGTCACCCTGCACAACAGGAGCACACACACTCACCCTGGGAAGGAGCGTCACCCTGCACAACAGGAGCACACACACTCACCCTGGGAAGGAGTGTCACCCTGCACAACAGGAGCACACGCACACTCACCCTGGGAAGGAGCGTCACCCTGCACAACAGGAGCACACATCACACTCACCCTGGGAAGGAGCGTCACCCTGCACAACAGGAGCACACGCACACTCACCCTGGGAAGGAGCGTCACCCTGCACAACAGGAGCACATCACACTCACCCTGGGAAGGAGCGTCACCCTGCACAACAGGAGCACATCACACTCACCCTGGAAAGGAGCGTCACCCTGCACAACAGGAGCACACACACTCACCCTGGGAAGGAGCGTCACCCTGCACAACAGGAGCACATCACACTCACCCTGGGAAGGAGCGTCACCCTGCACAACAGGAGCACATCACACTCACCCTGGGAAGGAGCGTCACCCTGCACAACAGGAGCACACGCACACTCACCCTGGGAAGGAGTGTCACCCTGCACAACAGGAGCACACACACACTCACCCTGGGAAGGAGCGTCACCCTGCACAACAGGAGCACACACACTCACCCTGGGAAGGAGCGTCACCCTGCACAACAGGAGCACACGCACACTCACCCTGGGAAGGAGCGTCACCCTGCACAACAGGAGCACACATCAGAGAGGAGCCATTTTTAGCTGCCCCAGGATTAGGCAGGCAGGCAGAGGTGTGTGAGGAGGCAGAGCAGGGAGCAGAGGGAGCTGGGAAAGCCAACTCGAGGTGAACATTCTAGTCCTGCTCACCATGCTGGGAAGGCTGCAGGCCCACGGCCTCCCCGGTAGCCACGCAGCAAGGGACAATTCAAACGCAGTGGGGAAAGCATTCTGGTGACATCTGCCCCCTCTGAAGTCAGTGGCTCTGCCATGTGGGTGCCCAAAGGCACCCTGCACACAGCTCGCCACCCAGAAACAGCTTCCCGGACCACCAGCGGAAAAAGCAAAAGCAGATGGCGCCGTGCTCACAAACTCAGCAACCTTAAACATGAGGGAACGACATGGAGGAGGGAAAAAGAACACTTCACAGCCACGTGAAATAGGGCAACGTGGGGGCAGACGTGGTGGAGCAGGACTCCTGCTCCCTGGATGGGAGCGCAGGTTCACGTCCTGGCTGCTCCACTTCTGACCCAGCTTCCTGCTAATGCACCCTAGGAAGCAGCAGGTGACACTCAAGTACTGGGTCCCTGCCACCCATGGGGAGACCTCGATGGAGGAGACCCCAATGGAGGAGACCCCGATGGAGTTCCAGGCTCCTGGTTTCAGCCTGATCTGGCCCAGCCTTGGCTGTTGTGTGCATTCAGGGAGCGAACCGATGGATGGGAGATACCTCTCTCTCTCTCTCTCTCTCTCTCTCTCTCTCTCTCTCTCTCCCCCTCTCCCTCTGTTTTCAAACAGATAAAAACTAAACAAGTAAACATTAAATAAAATAGGGCATTATTGGGAGTGGACAGGTGCCTGGGTTCAATTCCTGGCTCCAGTTCCTTTTTTTTTTTTTTTTAAGATTTATTTATTTATTTATTTATTTTTGGCCAGGCAGAGTTAGACAGTGAGAGAGAGACAGAGAGAAAGGTCTTCCTTCCATTGGTTCACTCCCCTAATGGCCGCTACAGCCGGCGCTGCATCAATCCAAAGCCAAAAGCTGGGTACTTCCTCCTGGTCTCCTATGTGGGTGCAGGGACCCAAGCACTTGGGCCATCCTCTGCTGCCCTCCCGGGCCACAGCAGAGAGCCGGACTGGAAGAGGAGCAACCAGGACTCGTACCCAGCGCCCCAATTGGGACTAGAACTTGGGGTGCTGGCACCGCAGGCAGAGGATTAGCCAAGTGAGCCATGGCGCCAGCATATTTTTTATTTACTTGTAAAGCAGAGTTACAGAGAGATGAGGTGAGACAGAGAGAGATGTCTTCCATTTGCTGGTTCACTCCCCAAATGGCCCCAACAGCCAGGGTTGGGCCAGACTGAAGCTAGGAGCCTCCAGTTTCTTCCAGGCCTCCCACCTGGGTGCAGGGGCTCAAGCACTTGGGCCATCTTCCACTGCTTTCCCAGGTGCATCAGCAGGGAGCTGGATTAGAACTGGAGCAGGTGGGTCTCAAAATAGTGCCCATATGGGCTGCTGGTGCTGCAGACAGAGGCTTAGCCTGCCACGCCACAGTGCCAGCTCCTGATTCCAGCTTCCTGCCGGGGTGAACCTTGGGGGGACAATGGTGACGGTCTACTTGGCCGGGCTCTTGAAGACCTGGACTGAGCTCCCAGCTCCTGCAATGAGCATTTGGAGAGTGAACGAGTGGATGGGAACTCTGTCTCTCAAACAACTAAATGAGTTTTAAAAATAGGGCATTGTTATAAAACTTGAAACCCAGAAAAGGGTGCTTGACACATAGGCTGTAAAAAGCACAAAAAATAAACCAGGGCTCCGAGTCCACGAGAGGCCACCAAGGACAGAGGCTTTGTGTGAACACTGGCGGGGGCACAGTGCTGCGCTCCCGAAGCTCGTTACCCGTCCTCTCAGAGAAGGGGGTCCAGGGGAAGGAGGGGCCCAGGCCCCCAGCTCACCTCGCCCAGCAGAGGCTCCTGCTCGCCCAGGCCCACGATGAGGACGCAGTCGGCTTGCCGGACGCAGCGCTGAGTCCAGGGTGTGAGTGTGCTGTCCGTCTGGTAGAGCACGATCCGGTGGATGTCCTCCTGCTGGCCCAGCCAGCTGGACAGCCGGTACTCGTGGACGCTGCCGGGCACGGGGCGCTCAGCCTCTGAGGCAGGCTCCCAGGGGGCCCTCCCTGGGAGTCCTGCGCCTTCAGGGGCACTGCCCCTCTCACAGGGCAGTCAGAGAGGACGGGGTCTGGTGGAACCCCACCCACACGCAGCACAGCAGGCATGCAGACGCCCGGGTACAGCCAGGCTGGTTTCTGCACAGCACCAGTGGGCGCCTCAACCACCATACCTGTCCAGAGCCGCCGAGCCAAGGCGCTGCTTTATGTTGTCGCTGGTCAGCAGCAGCGTTGGACCTGAGGACAAGTGAGGTGGACAAGAGCAAGTCCTCCCTAGGCAGCGCTCCCCCGGAAGTGCCTGCCAAGCCATTTCTGGCCTTCTGGGCGGGCAGGGGAAGCGCCTGGGGCCGAGGGGACCACACCCTCTGCCCTCCAGGAGGCTCCAGCAGCCTCTCTGGGCCTCCCAGAGGTGAGGGACTCAGGCTGATCAGGGGCAGCAGGAGCCCTGAGCTTTGTGCTCTGTGTCTCCAAGCCCAGCTACAGCCAGCGGCAGAAAGCCCACCGGGGGCTCAGGAGGAGCTGCCCCATGGAGCTCTGGCGGCACACAGGCCGTCCACCCTGCCATCGGCGTGGTGGGCTGGGAGGGCTGTGGCAGCCTTGCAGCCCCTTCGACGGTGCAGGAGCTTTCCAAGGAGTGACAAGTAAGTGACGGGCGTTACTCTCTCCCATCTCAGCAGCCTCCAGAAGAGGACGCGCCTTACGGAGGCAGGGGCTCACTGGAACGCCCCCACCACCCGAGGCGCACGGCCAGATCCAAGTGCAGACGCCCCTGCAGGGGCTCGGGGATGAGGCAGCAGATGCGCGCTGAGGGGACTGCACTCCCCTGCTCACAGGTGGGACTGCTCCTGTCCTGCGGTGACTGCATGAGACAGGACGCCCAGGGCAGGAGCACCCCACAGCCTGGGCATCCTCTACCTAATGTCAGCTCTGCACAGCAGCACACAGTGGGGGCCACATCTGGCTGCAGCAAGGGGAGGTGCAGCCTGAGGCTCACGGGGATCCCTCAGTGTGCGTCTGCTGCCTAGAGTTGGGCAGCTCTGAGGGGAGCAGTCAGGCCAGAGCGGTGGCCCGGGCTCCAGCTGCCGCCTGTCCCACGGTGCTCACCACCTCCACTCCTGAGAGATCTGTCTCAGGTCCTTGGTAGGGAGGCGAGGAGAAGGGCATGGACAGGCCCTGGGCAGGGGGCCTCCATGCCTCACGGGGGTCCTGCCCTCTGGAGGGCAGAAGACAGCTCAGCTCCAGCACTTGTGGCCAGCTCCGGGGCTATGGCTGCAGCAGGCGTCCAGCCAGGCCACTGCCCCACTCCTGCTGCAGCCTGGACATTCGCTGCCAGCCTGGCGGAAAGGGAACAGCACCTCAAAGTGCCAGCAGAAAACAGACTCCAGGCTGGACCCCCACTCAGCGAACGCGCTCGTAAGCAAAGGTGAGCAGCCGGGACATCTGACCGCTGGCAAGGGAGTGGCAGCACAGCGCCGAGTCTGGTCTCCCTGGAACAGGGCTCAGCGTGACTGAGCCCTGCAGCCCTCTGGGTAGCCTTGGACCAACTCAGTTCTTTACTCTCTTGAGTGAAGTTCAAGAATAACTGTAGGGGCCAGCGCTGTGGCGAGGTGGGTTAAAGTTCCAGCCTTCAGCGCTGGCATCCCATATGGGGGCCGGTTTGAGTCCTGGCTGCTCCACTTCCGATCCAGCTCTCTGCTATGACCTGGGAAAGCAGTGGAAAATGGCCCAAGTGCTTGGGCCCTGCACCCACGTGGGAAACCCAGAAGAAGCTTCCGGCTCCTGCCTTTGGATCAGCTCAGCTCTGGCCATTGCGGTCATTTGGGGAGTGAACCAGCAGAATGGAAGACCTCTCTCTCTCTCTCTCTGGCTCTACCTCTCTTTGTAACTCTGTCTTTCAAATAAATAAAAATTAAAAAAAATTTTTTTGACAGGCAGAGTGGACAGTGAGAGAGAGAGAGACAGAGAGAAAGGTCTTCCTTTGCCATTGGTTCACCCTCCAATAGCTGCCGTGGCTGGTGCGCTGCGGCCGGCGCACTGCGCTGATCTGAAGCCAGGAGCCAGGTGCTTCTCCTGGTCTCCCATGGGGTGCAGGGCTGAAGTACTTGGGCCATCCTCCACTGCACTCCCTGGCCACAGCAGAGAGCTGGCCTGGAAGAGGGGCAACCGGGACAGAATCCGGCGCCCCGACCGGGACTAGAACCCGGTGTGCGGGTGCTGCAGGAAAAGGAAGACCTTTCTCTCTGTCTCTCTCTTACTGTTCACTCTGCCTGTCAAAAAAAAAAAAAGCGCAGGGTAAGGAGGCAGTGCTGAGGCCTAGTGGATAAAGCTGCGGCCTGCGGTGCCACCAAGACAGAAATACTATCAGGGTTCAAGTCCTGGGCTGCTCCACTTCTTTTTTTCCTTTCTTTCTTTTTTTTTTTTTTTTTTTTAAGATTCCTATCCCTCCTCGCAGCGATGTAGTATGAAGCTAGAGTCCTTCGTAGAAGAGGGAGAGAAAAAAAGAGAAAAGAATCTTTCTAATCCGGTTCTTTTCTCCAAAAGGGCTGCAAAGGCTTGGAGGCTGGGCCCAGGGCCAAACCCAGGAGCCGGAAACCTTCCCTCCCTGGTCTTCCCACAAAGGGGGCGGGGGCCCCAGGACTTTGAGCCCATCCTTCAGGTTGCTTTTCCCAAGGCAAAACAGGGAGCCTGGAACAAAAAATAAAAGAAGCCCGGAACTTG